ATCAAAATTGTTGTCTTGCACGAATGCGTTCGCGTTCTACTCACAAATATCCGTATAAGTAAATATTATTCGGATACTCATCCACCGCGGGAAATCACTTTGCCCAGCGATGGTGCTCACGCTGTGGGAGTTGTCCTTGCAAGCAGCTTTTCGCTTGGCAATCGAGATAAAATACGTGCTTTGACTACCTCAGATACTGTCTGACGCATGTGCGGCGGCTCGACGGCGTCGACTCGGACCTATGCATTTGAAGATCGGCATCTGTCTAGGATTCTATGGGGAGACGACGAGGATCAAAACAATGACACAGCAACGTCGTTTCTTAGTTCTGTGTGTGTTGAGCTACGTTGAGCGCCCAGTTATCCGAGACATCCGGTACAACCTCAATGCTATGTCCGACGCCAACGCACTGCTGGACTTCTGCTTCGACGTCATGAGATGTGCATGATGGCCGTTCGACAGCGCCCATAGCGTTACCCCCTCAGTACATAGCAATAAACACAGCAAAACTGTGGGTGCTGTCATCGTCTTCACGGGGCGGTCGCACTCGTTGTTGGGATAGGCAACGACTTTAAGCCTACATTATCACCGCAACAGACCCAACGGGGAACTTTACCTTGCGTTGTGATTGCCTTCTGATTCACTGTCAAGTCGTGCAGTGCGGTCGAACAAGTTTGAACCGATTCTGTTCAAATAGTAATTGGAGGGGGATATTCCACACTAATCTAAAGTGAGAATTTCGCAGATCACACTAATATAATGATTATTCTCCTGGTCATTTGGAGGTGCGGTGGAGATGCTCTACGGGGTCAAAATGAGGACAAGAAGGATCGTTTACGTTACAGTATAGTATTGTACTTGGACTTGTGACTTTGAGTGCGATTAACCATGAACATCGTGTGAAAGGCAACAACTTCTACCGCAAACACATGACAAAATGCAAAATGACCACTTTTTAAATGCATTAACACATACTGTTTGCTTTCAATTGAACGCGTCACAACAGACACTGGAACCACTTGAGCGGTTTGCGATTGTCCCCCCACCAGCCATCACCCGTGCGGAAGGACAAGTCGGCATGGTTCAATGGCCCTACGTAGTGCTTGCTCGAAGTCCCTCCAAAATCGTTGGTGTTCAGTCCCACGGAGCAGCTGTTATAGTCCACGAAGCCATCGCTGGCACTGGCATGACTCGCCATTTTGTCCACAATGGCCAACGGCGCCGAGTAAATCGAATTCAGACCAAAAGCACTGACGCCACAAGCTGCATGCGATACATGCTCTTGTCTAGCCCGTTGGCCGGCAGCAAACGCGGCTTGCTCGGTAGCGTTCACGGTGGATTGGTGCTGCAGGGAAAGGTACGCGCGACCGGGAGGACAGTAGCCGACCCACGACAGCGGCACTTTGAGGATATTGCTCCAGCCTCCCTTGAGGCATTGCTGTTGCAAGAGGTTCGCGACTTGGCTGCCTTGTTGGGGGGACGCCAGCGACACCCACGTCACGTCTTTCGAGAACGTACACACGTTGGATGCGATCGCCCCTGAGGCAATGACGTTGCCCATCGAGTGGGTCACCAAGATAAGACCTCCAATGGCCCCTGAAGACGACTGGGTGGCGACGTCCGCGGCGGCTTTGCAAAACTCGTGCTGCAGCGCTGCGTCGTCCCAGCCTTGAGATACCGTGTCCAAGTGAACAAACGTCGAGCTGGAACAACAAGGGGATGACACGTCCCCCCAGTACGACGAAAACGACGACGTTGGGGGCCCAGCCGCATCTTCGCCCGTCCCATGGACAAACAGACACGGCTTCTTCGCGCCTTTGCATGCACACGCGGATTTGTCTTTCACCGACAAAATGCGGTTGGAAGTGAGAGTTTCCATGGTAGCTCGGGCCAAGGAACGAGTCATCGGTGGTGCAGTCCACAACGTTGCGGGGTGTGACGACTGCGAAATCGACGGGCAATCTAGCGCGACTTCGTTTGCAGTTGAGGGCACTTGAATACTGTCAAGTTGCGAGGGGTCGGCGAGATACTCGATCGAAATGTCCATATCTTGGCCCACCGCAAATGCGAGCTCGTTGGCAGCCGAGTTGCAAAACACAAACGATTCCCCTGCAAACGTCAATGAGAGCAACGTGCCTCCGACGCATTTGTCTGTGATTTCAGTGTGGCCCTCCACTCCGTCGATCACGCGAGACTCTATCACGCTAGACTCCATCTAAACGCAGCCATGGATTGTGTGAGTTGAGTTTAGCTTGTTGGACGACGCCGAAGGGTACTGTACCAATGAGAACGAAGGCAACATAGACGGATCGAGGCAACGAACTGCACTGGTGGTGCCGTTGTTAGATTGGGAAAAGTACCCCTTGTCGTCCACAAGCGTGTAAATGTCCGACTGCGTGGGGGTCGCTTGGAGGGTCATGATTGCATCAAACTGAAAACTTGATGCTGCCCCCCCTGGTTGTACTTGATGTCGGGGGGCCACAAAGATCGTGGCTTCGTCCAGCCCGTACACCTTCAAACTCGCGCGCTTGAAGTGCAAAGTGAACTTGAGTCCCGGGCTGAGTTGGAGGTTGGTTACAATCGCCTTGTGGCCATTGTCAGTTGCCTTTACAATCGTGACCGCGACAGCCCCGACAGCGACACAGACAAGCCCACAAACTGCCGCAAAGACGGCAACCCAACGAAGTCGCTTTTGACGAGTATTTGGGCCTAATTTTCAATTGAGGGGTTATGTTTTCATGGGAGCTCAAACCAGAGGGCGACAAGGCTTGCTCAGAAGCAGACTCCAGCGGAGCGTAAGCGTTGGGCGAGGCGCCGACACCTTCGATAGTGGAGGCGGGAGGCATTTGCGGGGAACAAGCCAAATTGAGGAGTGACATGTTTTGTAAAGCACTCCAACGAAAGCATTCTGTTATCAGCGACGGAGATGAACATGGAACTCTGCAATATACCAAGTTCAACCTTGTTTCGGTAAACACTGTGCTCCATACTGCGTAGTACTACTACTACTTAGTACTGGTACTTCTTAACGTTATTGTAAATTTGAAGCTAATTACGCTAGTCTGATTTATGGCTGCGGGTGGCAATTCCTACAATATTGTAAGTGGCCGGACTTCCATCGACACCGTAGTATTGTTAAAATTATACCTGGCTACTAGCATGAACCCCGACCGCGAATTCGAATGGAAGTCCGTCGAATAAACGTCTAATAGAGTGATTTTGCAAATGGGAATATTCCAATGAAATGATCGAATAATTCTATTGGAATATTTCTTGCAATTCTTTCCAATCGGCATATTTCAACTCCACTCCCTGGAACTCGCACGACCAGTGTCATTTGAACGCTGCACGCGTTATCGTCGGGTGGGGGAGTGGGGATATCTCCTTTATGAGGTTTACATCATACTGGACCGTGAAGCGATGGGATGGCTTCGTATGGGGCTGGCCTGCTTGCTCTGATTGAAATGTTGTGAGTGTGTAAAGGACTGTCCAGTCAGAATTTCTGACCTGGAATTTATTTGGCTAAAATTTCCAGTGGGAGCGTCGAAATGTCTCATTGGGTCATTTCAAAACGGAGTACTAGCTTAGTAGTACATAACTGATACTACCTACTGAGTACGTTAGTGCTTTTAATAACGTTAGTACTATTAATAGTATGTATGGATATATTTCTCAAATTTAAAATCTGCACAACCCAATCTGCATCTGTGACATTTTCGTTCAATAATACTCCTTCACAAGATTTTGAGACCAAAAAACAGTCTCAAAGTCGGTGATTTGCGAAGTCACAAACACAAATCATAGCTCTACAATTCAATACTAGTATAGAGTTGTACAATTAGAGCACTTCTGGTTAAATTCATGCCAGGTGTTGATGTCCAAGACATCAAAAGTGTCCTGCCACCCTCTCGGCCATCGCAGAATTCAAAATACACCTCTTCCCGGACAGAATATAGTCTGCGACGTAAACAATACTAGTACCGGGTTATTCCGAACGTTATCGGCTCAATGAACCCATCGAAACACACTTCGAAGAATATATACGTACCGGTATATCAACTGCAACCGCCCTTGGCACAATGTTCAACATGCGAGTAACATACTCCAGTACTCCGGTACCGAGGTATAGGCACCTCTACAATCTACCAGACACTGGTATCTTGTTGAAAATCAGTGTTTTAATAACGTTAGTACTATTAATAATAAGAGTTGTAGTAACTATAAATAGTTACCGGATATTGATTGGGTATTACTCCTGGAGTATTACGCCTAGAACAGGCTCTATAACATTAGGCGAACGATTATCACACGAATACGCTGTGTATCGACCGACGCTGCTGCTAGTAAACCACGAACGATGGACTAGTTGCCGATATAATTCATCACGACGCACACATACAGAAGTAACGTTACTGGATATTAGTATTCCACTGTAATTGACTTCCAGTAACGTTACCGGTAAGACCATTGCGTTCAAGCATTGATTGGATGAGGGTGTCCATGATTCAGCTTGTCGTCGTATGTGGATGCGAAGCCTTGAGTCGCAATCAGTCACAGCCAAATCGCACTCCTACCCTACCCCTTGCAGGAGAGGTATTTCAACAATGCACAAAGAGGCTACCGTTTACTTAAAATGGAGGTTGTATTCATTCCGGGTGCGCAATTTTTTTCGAGCAAACGATGGAGTATTTCTGAGCACGCCTTAGAATGGATCGATTTCGAGACACTTTCCGAGCGCACTTAATACGCGCAAGAACATGTGTTAGTCATTGGTGAATTTCCGAGCAAATATGGGTACTAAATGCCAATGCTGAGTACTGTGGCGCCTTTAATGATACTTCTCCGAAGTGCAATCATCGAATTTATCCCACTGCATCCCCGTGCATCCCAAACAATAATTGTTGACGTCATCATGGTCACCAGCCCCAGCATTCTTTCACCAGAATCGTACCCTTTCCCCCACGGAGACTACGTCTCCACCCCGGATAACGTACGTGTAATGCTATGCCCGGGGTTTGCGCATTAACAATCGTTTGCTATCGCAAACGATTGCCAATTTGCAAAACCCTTGTGGACTGTGTGTTGTGGACTCCAAAATTGAATCTAAATGAATCCATTGTCCCAGTTTATCCCAATTGGGAATATCTTAACTTTACTATCAATTCGGTTTGTCCCAGTGGATGCAGTATTAGGAAATAACTGCTCTAAAACAATCCACTCCATCACAGTCCCAACTAAGTACGCTCTAAAATGCTCCATCCCAAAGCCTCGCTCGGAAATAATCCATCGCTTGCTCGAAAATAAATCTTTTCCCATTCATTCCGACTATGTTCCTTTTAGCTAAACTCCGACGTGGGTCCCTGCAAATGGCTACGGTACGCTAGCTGCTCGTCTGATCATCATAAAACCCTCACGGCGAGCCAAAATATGTACTTCGTCAAATCAGAAGTTTTAAAATTTGGCCAAGAACGATCACACTTCAACTTCGTGGGTTTCGTCAACAGGCGCAAAATCAACCATTTCCCCACGGAACAGCAATCTGAGTGGCTAACATGAAGCAGCAAACCATATACGAATACTTATTATGTTCATATACCGGTTACTACAGTCGCTCCGAGCTAGAGAAGATGCATGTCGCCAAAATGTCGCCAAATGGACTACCGGTAGTGAAACTATCTCGCGTTTTCAACGAGTGACAACACCCAAGGGTTAAGCCTATGATGGTCTTCATTTGCCATTTCATGGTAAGTACATGTATGTATATTACCCCTATTGGCGAATAATCACCACTACAACTACCATACCGGTATTTCTATCTACAGAGAACCGGGGAGAAACTCACCCGGGTATGCATGTCCTGACGCACTAGTTGGTTTGGTCAATGTCCAGTGCAGCCAAACTGTACCCCAAGACACCACCAACCAGAATCCCCACCGGCCTGACCCGGTGGGGACCAACACTCCGGTAGCCAAAAAAACCGCCGCGTCGCCGTGACTATAGATGGTATGCCACCACAAGAGTCCGATGGCGGCAGAGTAGAGGCCCTCCATTCCCGCCATGAACACCTGCAGCTTGTGGTTGGAGCGAACGAATCCCCAAAGGGGAGGCACTGCAAAGAAGAGGCCTATTTCAGGCCCAAAGAGACCAACGCAGTCAGCAACGCCCCAGGAACCCCCAACGCCACCGCGCCTAAGTACGTCGACATGTTGAAGAGGGGGCCCGGAAGGGATTGGATTAACTCAAATCCGATGAAAATCTGGTCCTTGGTCACCCACCTAGCATAGACAATGTCATTGAGAAGCATGGGTAGCATCACTTGACCTCCGCCGAAAATGATCGACCCGATGCGAAAGAACGCGTAGAACAACCCCACGTAGCCGCGCCCGTCGCCTCTCTGCACGCATATAAAGATCATTTTATTTTCACTATGATACATTGAACACGCCCATAATAACAGTATTTCATACTCCAAGCTCGTCGTAAATAATAATTGAAGACGCCAAGTAGGACAAGGTCACAAACGTGGTTAGCCAAAGTGGTGACGATGCCTGTCCACACTGGAATATCAAACTCCCTAACGATATGACCATTGAAATCAACATATTGGGATTCATGATGAATATCTTTGATTCCACGGAAGAGAGGGGCCAACATCCGCATAACCCCTTCTGCCTTGGACAGCCCAAGGCAGAAGGGACAGCCAAGGTCGTGCCCCCCCGGTGACATTCAGGACGGGGATGATTCATGGCCCGTGGTTCTTGCGTTGTCAAGACAACGCTCACCGACACCGTCGCGATGGTCATCTTGAGTACTTCGTAATAGTTACTACATCAGCTATCATATGATTTTTACACATAAAATCCAATGCTTGTAAATGTGGAAATCCTGGAGATTTTATTTTACAACGATAAGGTTTATTACAAAAAAAATATTAAACAAAGATTATTATTTAAAAAAAAGAATAATTATAAAAATAACTTTCAATAATTTTAAATTTAAAGAAAAAAATTAGATGGAAAATAGAACAAAAATGGTTCAATTTTGATAGAAACAATTCGTGGGTTCGAATCCCACTTTGGCCTATTAAATATATTTAACAAAGTAAAAATGATGTAGTTCAATTGGTAGAGCGTAGAATTTTTTTTTTGTATATTAACAGGTAGATCTAAAAGTGTTTATAAATCTTTTAAAATATCAAGATTTCAATTAAGAAAAAAAGCCTCGGAAGGTTTTTATTTATACCAAGGTAGGTATTATAGCTTTGATTTTTTTTTTTAATAATAAGTCCTTTTTTAGGTCTTTTAGAATCCTATTTAATGCGTTATTATAAAACATAAATATATTTAATGAGAACAAATTATTCTAATTTTTTAAAATAAACTTGATAATTATCAAATTGTTATTATTTTTATTGTTAAAATAATAATATTTGCATAATATTTTTTAAGAAAGTATGTTTAATGGATTTAGCTTTAAATACTCATTTAATTGTTACTACTTGGATTTCTAGTAGACTTTTTTATTGTAATCGGGCTGTTGATCCTGGCTCAGAATAAATGCTATTGGTATGCTTAACACATGCAAGTCAAATGTTGAAAAACATGGCAAACGGGTGCGTAACACGTGAATAATCTACCCTTTAGTTCAGCGTAATTATTTTATAAAAATTCTGAATAAAGAATAAAGTTGTTGTTTAAAAAACAATAATCAAATTAAAGTAGGATTATCTACTGAAAATCCACCCCATAACCATTCAACAATATATTTACCTATATAAGGAATAGCTGAAAATAAGTATTTATTTTATTTTATTAAATAATTGATACTTCCACTGTTGATACTTCCACTGTTCTCGGTTACTGCCGACATTTACTTTGAATTGACACAGACAATCGAGCCCTCACGCAATTTGGGCGAATGATACTACTTTGTTTGAAAGGGAATTGCATGCATTTTCGCAAAAGATTGGTTTATAATCAGCGCTTAAAGCAATTGTAAGCCAATGAAATGTCATAAACATTCGATATGATAGAAATTGAAGAATTACAGCCAATGAAATGAAATGTCGCCAGTAACTTGGAACATGCGAATTTTGAAATGTCGGCAGTAACCTGGAACAGAGGGTGTATGTATATAAATTTAAAGTAAAATAATTAATAATAATTAAATGAATTAAAAATGTTTCGATTTAAATAAATAATTTAATAAAAATATTTTTGTATTTTTTATTTAATTTTTTTAAAGCACCTTCCCAAGAAATTCTACAAAAATATTATTTTTTTAAATAAAGGTTTTTTTTATTCTTTATGATGTTTTAAACTATCAAAAAATACGAATTATATTAATTAATATAATTTAATTATTATTTTTTATTCCAAGGAGTATTAAATTCAAATAATCGATATTTTTGAGATAATTGAATAGGTTCATAAACTACTCTTTTTTTTGATATCTGAAAAATGGTAAAAGATTTAGTAAAAAGGTTATAGTGCACTAAGTATTTATTTATATATTCCATTTTTATAAGTAAAAAGAGGGTAGATTTCGTCCTCGTACTGTTTTCCACAATTTCACAGCTACAAGCGAGGTTGTGGCTGGCGCTAGCCCCGCCATCCATCATGACCGATAGTCAGTTTGCGAGGCTTTGGTTTAGGTGTCCCCTAGGTAGTTCTTGGCCCCCACGCCAGTAGCAGTCATACCAATACAGGTAGGAAGACACGAAATGATACACGCCAAGTGGCCACCGAGTACTGTACGCTCCATATATGGCTGCAATGACTTGGGGGACGGTGAGGTCTGGCCCGATGTCAACGACAGCACTTTGAGGAACCACTATTTGTCCACCCAATGCAACCGGTCTAGAGCAATCATATCTCAAGTCGCAATAGTGTACTTGCGTGCTCGCAGTACATCCTACAAATCTCTCGTGGGCGAAGCTAATGTTGGCCAGGACCAAACGAAAGAACGAATGCAATGTCACTGGCAGCAACTCCACAGACACCAAGCGTGTGAAGATGCTCGTGGTTTACGGAGGCTACATTAATTAACAGTAAGTGCCCACACTAGTTGCGGACAACGGTGTACTTCAAATAATTGACTATAAATGTTATGAATTTGCTACAAATTTCCCAATTTTGCGCGATTCGTTTACACCGACCCCAAATCTCGCAACGAACTACTTCATTCCGCAGAAAGCACGAAGACAACAGAAAATATAATGTATTAATAGATAAACGTATATTATTCTCGAAGTAATAATCCACGACAGCACGTGTCCAACGAATCGATCGATTGATCGGTTTAGCGAGTCAATACAAAAGTCCAAATTTTGCGTAAAACGACTATAATATCGTTCATCGAACATCAGTACTTCGAAGTAGTATGTTTCTCGTGTTATCGTTCATCAACCACGTCGTCCATCACATTTGCAAGCATCCCAAGTTGACACGTCAAGATGTCCACCACATCTTCCGGTGTCGGGCGGTCCTGGGCGTCGGCCTGCATGCATCGTCGGCCCAGCTCAACAAACCACAGCGGACACTTATTTGAAAAGGACGGACGCAGGTGTTCGTACAGCACCATGCACACGACGGCGGCATCTGCGACACTGCGGCCGTGGTCGTTCTGGACGTCCGTGAACGGCACGCGGTGGGTGTCTAGCTCGGTGAGCAGCACCCCGAACGAGTACACGTCCACGGCTACCGAGTATCGTCGGAATGTCAGCACCTCTGGCGCCATCCATCGGTACGTTCCGACGCCCGTGGTCATAGAAGCGTGGGTGGTGTCGTCGTGCAAGTGTTTGGCAATGCCAAAGTCGGCCAATTTAGTGCCACATTTTGAATCCAGCAATACATTGCGCGACTTTAAATCGCGATGGATCACATGTTGTTGCTTGAGGTACACAAGGGCATGGCCGACGCTGAGCGCACACTCTAGCTTTTGCCGCCACGAAAATGATGGCGAGTTTGTAAGGAACTCGGGCGACGGGGGTGGGGCGTTGTCTAGCAACTGCCGCAAGTCGCCCGAGTCCATATACTCGAGCACAGCCTTCAAATCACAAGCGTGGGTCCATGTGACACCGAGCAATGAGACCAAGTACGGGCTATGCAACGTCGACAGCAACGCGAGCTCGTCTACAAAGTTCTGGACGTCATCGAGGGACGTTCTAGAGCACGTTTTCACGGCCACGACCTCGTTGCTCCGCAACTTGGCGCGCCATACGACGCCATAGGACCCGGCAGCCAATGGAGCGACCAACTCGATTGCGGTCATGTCCAGTTGCAAGTCGGCCAAGTTGCGCCAGTTGATGTGCTGCGGGGGGTCGCCGCTCGTCGCCGACTGGGTGTGGCTGATGTTATGGGTGTCATCATCCTGGGACTGGGTAGGATTCGACGGGGGAGACGGGAGGGACTGGCGGCTGGCTTTTTTCTTAGCCCCTCGAACCGACAGCAACCGATGAACGACGACCCCGGCTAGCCCCACGGTGCACAGCACGATGAACGCCGTGAGGAACGAGTCTTGTCTTGTGGATATCCGCCGGTTTGGGTCGAATCGGGCAAACGGCGAGTCGTACACGTCGTAGTATGAGTACACGGTTGTAGCTGGCGGCGCCGTTGTGGCCAATAGTGGGGAGATCGACGGTGATGGTGATGGTGGTGGTGCTGCCACGTCAGATGATTGGGACAGGACAAGGGACGGAGGACTTGGTGTCGAAGGATCTACGAAGGTGGGGGATGCGGTGGCGGAAGGCCTATTCGCGCTGGGAGTCGTGGACAAGGGCGTGCCAGCGGCGACGATCGCAGTCGACGTCGGGGGTGTCTGATGTACCAAAGAAGAAGGGTTGAACGATGGTGGGTTCGGTGGCCTATCAGGAGATGGGCGAACAGGTTGAACAGGTGCAAGCTGTGGGGCTGTGGGTGGAAGAACGGTGGTGTCGGCGGTAGACGAAGACATGGACGGAGGCGGTGGAGTATCGTCATTGGGCGGCGTCGTTAATGGATCTAAAGTAGACTTTGGTCAGACGGGTGTGCGTGGAAAATCAGGTGTGATAGCAACATGCAATGAGCAACGAGCGAGGTCGATCGATGCGTACACTGTACGTACGGGGTGGGCTTGGAGGATTTGGCGGAAAAGACGTCGGCGTCTGCCTTGGCCAGGGCAGTTGTGTGGATAGCAGAGGAGTTGACGGTGCTGGTGCTGGTGTTGGCATCAACGTTGGGGTGTCGTCATCCGCGCCGTTGTCATCAGCCATCGTGTTGCCTTTATCCGGACCAATTTCGTACCAAAACTGGCTTTCGAATTATTCGTCCACAACTCTTGATAATTCTGCCAATCAGTGAATTTCTCATTGTAGTATTACTACGTAGTACTAGTACGAGATAGCGTTACGAAGTACTTCCTGTTCCAGGTTACTGGTGCCATTTCGAAATTTACAGTAGTTTGTTCCAAGTTAGTGGTGACATTTGTTTTTGATTGGCTAATTCGATAGTTTTTGTTCATTTACCGACTTTTCATTGGTGAGAAAGCTTAAAAAACACTCAATTTCGGCAAAATTGTATTTCAATTTCCAATCAATGAAGATATCACATGCCAAATTTGAGTAAGAATTGGCTTTTGGGGGACAGTTCAAAGTCAAATGGCACCAGTAACCTGGAACAGAGGAAGTACCATTAATAATAACGTTACTGTACGATCGATCGAAGTTTACCATAATTGTAAGGCTGCTTGTGCGTTGATTCATTTGTATTAATAGGGATTACACCACCATTTGAGGGGGTACAGTACACATAACGATAGTTTTGAAGCTCGAAGTAAATTCAATTTTTTGAACTGTGATTGGCTTATTTATCGAAGTTCGATTTGAATGACAAATCAAACTAACTTATTTTGTAATATACGTGAGCTGGATTGGCCAAAATACCTGCTACTCGTAATTCGAAGTAGTGGATTCAAAAGGCTAACAATAAAGTACGGCCATTAACTGATAACTGAAATTTCACAATTTTGACTTTGACGAGCAATACCTTGGTAAGAATACATCAAATTCTTTAAAGCTTGAGCATAAGATATAGAGCGTTCAATCGTCTTTCACGTCATGATTGGAAGTGCGTCCAATTCGTCATAGTTGTTGAGAATTCGAAAAAAAGCTAAGGGGTCGATTTTCGGGCCATATAAATATTGGTTTTTTACGTTAGAAGCATTATTAACTGTGTTATGGAGGAAACACATTTGGACACGAAACTTACACATATGAACGATCGACTTACTGCACCTACAACTATAATTAGATTGCCACGACGACTTTTTTGGTGGTGCAGGTTTCATATCCCACGGGGATTCCTTGTCCGCCGGCAATGCGCCAGCAAAACGTGGCCGGAAACAGACTCATGGCGTTCGTGATGAACTGGTAGACGAGGAAGAACGTAAAGATGACAATCGTGAGGATGCCGGCGATCCAGTCTTTGCGGCCGCGGCGCTTGAGTACTTGCAAGTGGGCCTTTTGTTTGGGGAGAAGTACCAGGAACGCCAGTGATCCGATCTTGACGGCAAACGCAATGATAAAGCAGTACGTGACTTCCCATCTCGCAAACGACGAATCGGTTTTCATCGTCGCAGACGTCGTGTTGAATGCCCCGTTGATGGTTTTGTACAGCATCGCAGCCACCGGCCACGCCACGTTGGCAATCGTCGTGATGAGCCCGTGGACAGCGCCTTCGTTGCCCATGTCCGCCAGTTCCACGGTGCTGTACGCAGATACAATAAACTGCACTGCTTTCGGCACATAGTTGACCAAATTCACAAACAAATACAAGTGTTCGTGGCGAGCACCTGCCACGCCCCATATCGCAGGAAGCATGATCGCAGCATCGAGAACCACCGCCACGACGGTCGCGACTGTGATGGCCGTGCGCCAATTCCACCCGAGACCGTACCGCCCGCAGTAAAAGTACGTGAGCATGTTGAGTGTGACCCCTCCAATCGTGTACATGGCGTTGTTTATGGGGGTCACCTTGACCCATTCACGGGCGACGATCGGGCGGGGCGTCGCGTCGAACTGCAGTGCCATAAAGTTGAGCGCTCTGAACGCACAGATCTGCCACATGACGCGGAGCTGGAGGAGCTCCCATAGACTTTGCATGTACTGGCGAAACGGCACGGCCGGGGTCGGCTTTTCCACGAGCAGCCCTACACTAGCCCCAATTGCCAGCACGCTGGTCACGGTCAAGATCCAGTAAATCACGTTAGGCGCAATGGAAAAGTCGAACGTGCCGCCATATTGAAAGTCGCTGAGGCCGACCCCGATGATTACGTTCGGGATAATGCGGAAAAGCTCGCGGACGACGTAAATCATGGTCTGGATGCGTCCGCGCATGTGCAGCGGCTCACGCTGGGCATGCTCCACCATGACGGCGTCAGCGGCCACAACGGCCAGGACAAACCCCATCGTTGCGCCCATCGACCACAGCACAAACTGGTACCCCGCGACCGCCGAGTCCATGTTAACGAACAGCTGCTTCTCCTTGGCGGTGAGGTTGTTGAGTGGGCGGCCCCGTAGAGCGTTGGCATATCGGGGGGCCGGAAATGGAGTTAGCGCCATCACGGCACAACAGACAAAGCACACGACCCATCCAATGATCACGTACGACTTGCGCTTGTACCCAAAGATGGGAAAACAGTCGGACGCGATCCCGGCAAACACCTTGAGGCTCCATGCCAAGTTGATGAGCGGCACGTACGATGCAATCTGGTACCCTTCCATGCGCAAGTATGTGGTGAAGATGGGATATGCCAACGATGGAAGCATGCCAGAGAGGATACCCACGGCGGCGTACTGGCACAGCAGCCCCACCGACTCGCGACTGAAGATTGAGAACGCCCCGCCAGGCTGCAATGCCCCGTCCGCGTCGTCGAGCTTGTCGTACATGTCGTAGTCGCTGCTGCCGCGCACCGAGCTGCTTTCGAGGACATAGGGCGACCCAAAGGTTTTGCCTGTGGTGAACATGACAGAAGTGGATGTATCTTTGGAAGGAGGCGGCGGCGGTGGCGGTGGTTCAGTTGGTTGGTGGCCTTTGACAGTCATGTTTGACAATGAGGTTGTCATTTCATTGTGGCATACTTAGTACTAGTAGTAAGATAGTATACTGTACTAGTATGTACATCCTGTTCTGGTGGGTGGTTGGCACTACGAAGCGACATCAGATGTCGCTGGGTGGAGGGTGATTGCTAGCCAATCAAAGCCGCAAGAATCGGATCTGACGACGAATGATTGGATGATGGATGAAACCAACATGCGCAAAATGCTCCGAGATGGCACCACACTTTTTCCAGAGCTGGAGGATCAAGTCTTTTGTCACAGTTCCGGATACATGGGCAGAATACACGACGACAGAAGATCAAATTGAAGTCTTATTAGCTTCTTCTATGTGCAAGAAAAGGTCAAGATTGCGCTGTCTTATTGTTGTTGGGTCTCGCATGTACTATAGTACAGTAGACGTGCTGCGTACTAGTATCACGGAAACTTCTACGCTTTTATCAAGAACACTGTACTTGTAGCACGCACGTTAAGTAACTCCACGTGACAATGCAGGCGGTGGTGGTCAAGCGTCTGTGATGGCCTACAGTACACTGTACTGAACCATCGTCGTTACCACCGCAGTACTTTCTAATGAAAGTACATACCGGAAGGTGATCACTTTACCTTACCTAGTACGGTACTACAAGTTGATCACAAACTTTAATGGGAGTGTGGTACTCACGTATTGTAATCAACCAAGTCAGAAAAGACAAATTTGACACGATGAGCCAAAATATACTACTACTAGTAGTATTACTACCACATCTATTAATAGCTGTAGTATGTCGTCTTTTCTGACAGTAATACCCCCGCAAATTGATGTGGAAAATTTTCGTTTTGTAAATCAAGGGCAAGTACAAGAGACAACGACCTTCGTGTCCCACATTTGTCAAAACTCTACGCAAATGCGGGATGTTGCGATCCTTGCTGCAATGGCTAACTAGCTCATTCAGCACTCTCCAAGGGTCGACAACGATTTGGACCAGAAACTCCAAACTGGTTCTCCACCAGTATTCACGTAACGTTATACTAGTACTAATACATACTGTAGTAACGTTACTATTAATGTAGTAGTTTGTACATTAATAGGTCACTGTGGTACTACAGTAATACTAGTAGAGTACTATTAATAGTACGGTATATTACAGTATGCAGCACGACGCAGTGGTGGTAGGTAGGGGGTCGACACTTCTAAGCATCTGAGAGTTACTACATAGTATGCCGCAAATGAGTACAATACAGTACTTGTCCACGTCTTACTTCCGGACCGCCAAATTAATTGTGTTATGTCATCCTTTGACGCTGATGGACGATCCATGCGAACGGGATTGACCATCGAGTTGGGGTACAGTAGTTGGTGTTGTCAGGAGATTCGGGGCATCGCCACCACCCATCCGCGTCGTAAGAGTGCGCGTTACATCGAGCTGCCACTTACTGTACAGCATTGTACTGTAGTGGTAAATGGGGATTTGGGTAACGTTTACGCTGGCGACACCTGCAGCAGGTTGAGTACTTGTAGTACACCGGTACTTGTACTGTAGTACTACTAATAGTGGTTTGCAAAATGCAGTCCAACTACTTTAACGTAGCGTTACAGTAACGTTAGGCCAAATGTGAGTTTGCAACCCAATAAATACTGTATGCAACACCAATAGTTAACGCCAAGACATGAGCAGGCTGACGTGGCTTCAGGACCCACAACACCAAATACTCACGACAGGTGAAACGAGTTGAAATGGAAGGCCGAGAACGAGACACTTTCGTCACGACCGAGCGCACTACCTTGGTACTATTAATAGTAAGTTATACTAGTAGTACTAGTACTATTAATAGTTTGTACAACCAAACTAACTCGACCACCGAAAAATCGAAATTGACCTTAACGTTACCCGCTAGGCTGCTGCAACGCAATAATTGGTTTGGGCAATGCCCAGTGCAGCCAAGCTGTAGCCCAAGGCTCCGCCAATCAGAATCCCCACCGGCGCAGGCACATTGAACAGGCCGACCAACACTCCCGTAGCCAAACAAATCGCCGCGTCGCCATGGCTATGGATGGCATGCTGCCACAAGAGTCCGATGGCAGCGACGACGAGTCCGATGGCGGCAGAGTTGACACCCGCCATGAACACCTGCAGCTTATGGTTGGAGCGAACGAGTTCCCAGAGTGGGAGCACTGCAAAGAAGAGGCCCACGCCCGGCCCAAAGAGGCCCAGCGCAGCCAGCAACGCCCCAGGAACCCCCAGCGCCACCGCGCCCAAGTACGCCGACATGTTGAAGAGGGGGCCCGGAAGGGATTGGATTAGCGCAAATCCGATGAAAAACTGGTCCTTGGTCACCCATCCAGCCTGGACAATGTCGTTGAGAAGCATGGGCAGCATCACTTGACCTCCGCCGAAAATGATCGACCCGATGCGAAAGAACGCGTAGAACAACCCCACGTAGCCGCGCCCCAATTCGTTCTAATCGTTTGTGGTATATTGAGAAGAAAAAAATGTATATATATATTTTTTCAATGAAGATTCAGCAAATGTATATAGATATTTGCAAAACACTAGTGTGTATTTGTGTATGTACGTACGATCGAGGCAAAGTACGACAACACAGCAAACGCCACGGCCCACACGAATATGATTCCGACGCCCGCCCATGCTGGAATGCCAAACTCACTAATACCGAGCGTGAAAATATATATATATATATGCGACATCGTTTGAAAAGGGATATGGGGTTACCGTTGGGCAAGGGGGTTCACGATTCCATCCCGAGTCGCCTTGATAAAGCTCTTGGTGTAGCCAAACGCTGGCGCAAGCAACGTCGTCACACCGCCTGCCACCATGAGCGCTGGGAAGATCCATGTGCCGACGTTTTGAGTGGCCAGCACCACACATGCCGACACTGCCGCGATCGCCATCTTCACTTGGTCATTTCCACATGCTTTGTTCCACAGTTTCACCGCGGCAATGATCACAAGGGAGGTGGCAGCCGGCGCCAAACCCGTCATCCACGCCGGCAACCCAGCTACTTCCAAGAAAGCAAACATGTATACAACTGAGGGGGTTCACGGTTAAGTGTACCGCCAAGGTAATGCTGGGCTCCAAGACCCGCTACAGTCATGACGGTGAACGCAGGCAACGCCCACACAACGAATGCTAACACTCCTCCGAGAAGGCCCGCACGGAATAAGCCAATCGACGAGATGACTTGGGTGGACGTCGGCCCAGGCAACGCAGACCCCAATGCCAGCACTTCCAGGTACCGGTCGTCGTCGAGCCAATGCAAACGCTCTAGTTCGATGATCAGTGCACAGTATGTTACTAGGATGGCAGGACAGTAGGTAAGCGCACACACCGACAAAGCGCTCATGGGCCAGGCCGAGGTGGGCTTGGGGGCCGCCAAAGGACACGAGCGCCACAGGCAACAGCTCCACCCCGACCGACAGCAACCGCGTCAAGTAGGGCTCGGAGTGTTCGTGGACGTCTGGCTTGTTGGTCTTGTTGATGAGCACGGTGGTTTCGTCGCCTTTCGACATTGTGGTGAAGGAAGGGGGTATGAAGTGCCGGCGACGGCGATGGCGGTCGCCAAAGAATCGAACATATGGTCAACATTGAATCTTGACCTATTAAGTTCGTGCATTCGATCGGACTTAGATGCACGTTTGCCAATGTAGCATGATATATATCCATCTATATATGCATAAAATAGCTGTGAGATATTATTGTTACTAACAGTAGTATTGAATGTTGGTGAGAGTGACTATAAACCTTGCTTTGATTTCGTTTGTTTAGACTTGAATCATCGCGGTATTGATTGTGGGAGCTCTACTGACCACATAAGTTGGCGGAACACCGCCCGCACGTACAATAATATATGAATATATGAAATATTTTCCAGAGGACAGAAATCAATGGGAATTTTGTTCGGGAAGCTAACGTTACCTGTTAAAGTGGTGTTTATACAGTCGTGGCTGTATCACTACTACTTCGGAGCACCCATTATTGGCCTCTCTTTGTTTCATGGACATTACTGGATTACGAAGTACTATGTAGTATTAATACTATGTAGTATTAATCGTAACGTTACGGTGATTTCATACTCCGGAGTAATAAAGTGAACTTGTGGCGTCTCTATAAAAACACCCGACGAAATATTAATAGTCAAGGAGGACTAACATTAAATGAAATGATAAACTACACGTGTATTAATATACTTCGAATTAATATACTATTGAATAGCCAAATACCCCGAGCCAGAGTGGGGTATTAAGGTATTTGCCCATGTGCAATGTCAATTTCCTTATGGCGCCAAGATCCATCGAATTAAAGCCTGATTTGGAGGCAATTCAACCAGCACAAAACCGATGGTTTACTTTCTACTCGAATTATAGATGAGACATTCCAGTCCGATCTCTCCATATAGTAAGTGTGCATTCCTTGCATGCACGCACGGATGCGAGGGGCCAAGCTGCCGCTGCCGGTCGACTTCACGCCACCCAACGCCGACACAACAGCGCAATGGAAGCGTCTGGCTGTCCACACCAAGGACCAACTGGTAGACCCCTCGTTACCTCGTTCTATATCTCGGCTGAAAACCCTGTCCTGGCTAGGTCAAGCTGTCGCGGTTGCGCGGCGGACGGGTGCGATGGACTAGGTCCTCGGACAAGCACGGCGTGCAGGTGTATCGTGGAGCGGACGAGGAGGCGCCTCCAGGCTTACACACGTGGTGCGCTGTGACGGAAGTCCAAGCCACGATCGACGAAGTGGACAACCTGTTCCGCAGCGACGCGAGTCGGTCCGTGGGGTTGATCGAGTCGGCGCAGTTGTTTGACAAGAACGTGCTCGATGCGACCATCGTACACACGTTAGAAGACACCCCCGCGGCGTCGCTTGGAGTCCAGTGGCTGCTCACGCGGCCGATGGGGACGTTCTCGTCGCTTCGGGATTGGTGCCTGCTCACGGTACAAACGCACTAGTCACCCATATGAGGGAGGGATGATATATGGATGGATCTCAAGCGAGTTTCTTATAGTACACAATAGCAACTACGGTGCAAGGGCGGCGTGGCTGGGTGCGAGCGTACACGTCGGTGGACGTGGACAGCTGCCGCCCGTCCGCCAACGACCGCGACGACGCCGGCGGTCGAGGAGGGTACGTCCGTGGGCACCACCTGTGCAGCGGCTACGTCGTCATGGAGTCGACGACAAAGCCCGGGTTTCTGCATGTCCGGCTAGCCATGCAATCCACGTTCCATGCGAAAGACGCCGCCTCGATCAAGGCCTTGGCGGCGAAATGTCAGCATCTCGCCGCGTTGGACCTACGTCTGCGGTCGTGTCGCTTGAGTAGCAACCAGCCCAGCAATGTCAAGTCCATGCCACTTGGCGTCCCTGCTACTGCATGTGGCCACTGCAACAAGTTATTTCGGTTGTTTACGATCAAAACCACATGTCAAAAGTGCAATCAGGTATTGTGAAATTTCGTGTTGTGGTTTCTCATTGGAATTTAAATCGATTTGATTGGTTACTTCAGATGAGCTCGAAATTATTAGCCAATCAAAATCTTCTCAATGAAATTGAACCAACCAGATCGATTGCACCCCCTCCCCAAATTTGTATCAAATCGACAATACTGTATATTATTGTCCGATTTTTACCCAAAATGTAGACACTTTTGATTCTTTGCCAAATCTATCGATCGATTATTGTTTGTACGGAAGTTTGTATGTACAAAGTTGTCCTGTGGTAATTGATATCACACTAATTCAAGTTATCACACACTTTTCGAATGGACTTGTGATTACGACTAGTTTAGGTATTGTGCTATCCATTCATGTGTGATGTGTATTTCTATTTTTTGACGATACTGTGATTATTCCTTCAGATATTTGTTCTATCTATTCATTATGATGTATATCTATCGTCGTATATTCACATGATAAACATATGTGTGCTATTATTGTGTGTTTTACGCAAAATTTCCTCCAGACCTTCGACATTTTATATAAAACTAAGTTTGAGGGGTACTTTTGTGACTGACCATTCCATCTGTTTCGCTATTCATGTTGCAACGACGTTTATTCTTATAAGCTGCTGCTTTGAGTAAATTGGCGATTTGATCAAATCCCCCAAAATTGGCACATTTGACTGAAAACTGCCTATCGCGAACGAGTGATCTATCTTCATTTATCATGTAGTTGTATTCTTGATAATCTATTTGACGTACTATGTGAATATACTATTAGTTAAGTCGTGAAAAGAGAGTTAGTCGCTAACTAGATGAAAACATGGGCAACTAACCCACGCACGCCCATGATTATTACTAGGTGTATTGCCGGGTATGTTGTCCTCAGTGGCGAGTTATGCCCCAAAGTGTCGGCCCAGCCAGTACCCTCCGTGCATGTCTGCCCTGTTCGTTAACGAGCTCCATCAAGCCAGCTCGGCTGTCGTTTACTGGTTCACGACGCACGGAAATGGATGTGATTGAAGTTGAATCGACTGATGTGGATGTATCGAGAGATGACGCTGCGCTCGGCGCACTCTTCAACGACATCAAGCAGCGGTGCTCCATGGTGCTAGCAGAAGTGGACCCGCAGTCCCGCGTAACCAAGGCGGACGCGGCTTCGTTGTGGCCCCAGCCCCTGCACGGGAAGAACCATCCGTTCCAGCGGCTGTCGCAGTTTACTGAACCTCTGTCGCAGTTTACTGAACCTTCTCTGTCGCAGTTTGAACCGCATGTTGTTCAAGTGCAACACAGCAGCCATAGTGCCAAAGGAAGACGAGCGTCATCCGTTCACAAACAGGCCACCGACCGACGGAGACGACACAGCACGTTGATCATGCACGACGGATCAAGTGACGACGGGGGGTCGTACATGCGACCGGCGACGCGGACGCTGCTCGAAGACGACGACATGGCACGCCAGATATATCAAAACCGACAAAGTGTGCTGCAGATTATTTAATATGATTGGCCAAACTTGGCTGGCCTGTCGGACGTTCACCCGCTCAATCAGGAACACAACCGTTCGTAAATAGGTAGTTGTTGTACTGTAGTGGTATAGTAAGCTTACTATATTACAATACTACTAGGAGTACTCGTCACCTACTATAAATATTAATAGTACCAACCAACTCTTTCACAAAAATTTATTGCTGCTACTAGTATTTCATTTCTCAAAATTTTAGCTAAGACTGTTCGAACATGCGTTTCACAGTCAAGTCGAATGTCCGGATGATTCGGTTAGCATGTGTAACGTATCGAATTCAAGCAGTATAATCTATTGGAGGCTACCTTGTCAAAAAATACTGCGATGTGATTGGCTCCAAGGGAGTGATCATAAATTGGTCATTAACGTTATGATATTTACGGGGATGTTTGACCGTTCTACCGCTGGGGTTGACGAAAATCAAAATACACGAGCTGTAAATCGGCATTTTACGGTCTGATTATAGGTATAGATGACGTGCATACTATTAATAGTAAGCGAATACAGTGAAAAAAGGTGTAGTAGCAGGGTAATTCCCCCTCAGCAGGTCAGAATTCCCCCATTAAAGGTATAGTTTGGGTGTTTTGAAGGTAGAAAGGTACTAACTACTTGTACTATATGTATAGAATAGTATAGTATAGTATAGTATAGTATAGTATAGTATAGTATAGTATAGTATAGTATAGTATAGTATAGTATAGTATAGTATAGTATACCTGCTGTGGGGGAATTATTCCCAGCCATTAAGTACTACTAGTACTACGTAGTACGTGTGTAGTACAAGTACGTAGTACCATACCGTACACAATATCTTCCCGCGCTAAATAACTACTAGTACCCTAGGATCCTCGCGTTCACAATAGCTACCCTGTCAGCCAAAGTGACAGAAAAATTGTACCTCGAAATATACAAATATGTGTTTGACTTCACTTGTATGCTCACAGTCAAGTAAAACAATTACCATTAATAATATATTTCATTCTTACGTATAGTCAACACTTCTGCTCGAGAAAGGCAGAATTCAATTTCGGTCGAATTCTGCCTTTCTCGAGCTATACCCTGGACAAGAAATCGCAGGGTAGTTATTGTGTACTAGTACGGTAGGTACAGTAGGAAGACGTAGAACTGTACTGGTACTTTTAATGTTCTCGTAGTATCCTACCTAGTACTATTAATAGTAGTACGAAGGACTGCTGTATTTGTCGTACACATGCACCTCCTCATAGAACACTATTAGTACACTATTCCGCAGTCCTGTAGTTCTAGTACATCACATACACGTACAGACAGTACAGTGGTTTCAAAACAACGCTAGCTTACAGTTAGTTTAAGCTTACGTTCATGATGGTGTCCGAGTTACTACGTACAGTTGTACTGTAATCATTGCATTGGGTGCAGGAGTACGACATATACGGCCGTCGTAGAAGGTTATTAGTACTACTATTAGTAGCGTTACCGTAAAGATCGTACAGTAGGAGAGATGTGACTAATGCTGTTTCGTAGCCACCCACTTCCTGAGATTTGTCCAACTCGAGGGAATACACCGGGTATTACGCCAAATACCAATTAAACTCCCGATATATATACACAAATGGGAAAGGCTGCCACGCCCGCAGGCAGAGAGAGGCAGGCGCGAGCGCAACTTCACTTTGACTTTGGTAGCCAGTCGCGTACTATTACTACAGTACGTGTACTGCCGCGCTGCGTTGTACGAGATTCGAATGAGTGGCATCAACGAACCTTCGCGGCACGTCCGCTTCTTTCAGCTGTCAACTCCCCGCAACAACAACGACGACGACGATGTCGAGTGCACCCAAGAATCGGTCGAGCGGCGTCGGCGGTGGAAACTGCAAGCGATTCCCCTCGTGATCTTCTTCATGCTGTTCTTGTCGGTGCTCGTACCGTTCGTGACCACCAACAAAACCATCGAGGGTACGTACTAGTAGTAAGTACTACTAGAGATATTTGTTCAAGGCGGTGGAAAATGCGTAGCATTGCGGTTCGTCGATCGCAAAAACTCATCTGGCACCGGCTACAGCCCCAACATGTTGGTGTCTCTGTCTGGCATGAGCACTGATAACTACGGTACGTTGTGTAGCGATCAATATACATATATGTATGTACCACTCCAAAAGCAATTGTGAGTTGTTGTTGACATTGCGTCGCGGATAGAAATGACCGTCACTGCTGTGCTCAACAAAGTCCCCGCCAGTGTCCTCAATGCCCAAGGCTCCCGCGTACGTACATACATACAGTAGTATTACTAGCTCTGCCGAACTACTATATATATCGTAATAATGCGTAGATCACGACCCCGTTTCGCCTTCAAGTTGGCACGTCCGCGGTCGTAGTTAACGAAAACACATCGTATGTCAAGGCGCCGTTGGTGTCCAAAGTGCCGTTGCTCACTGGATCCCTGGCGTGGTATCCGTTCGACACGTACGAGTTGGTTGCTAAGCAGCAACAGCAACAACCATCCTCGTGCTTCTTTCATATCTGTGGATATGTACTATATAGGTACCTCATGAAGCTCGACATCCAAGCCGTGACTGGCACAGCCCAATTCAATGGCGGAAACTTTAGCGCGATCGATAACTTTGAGTTTGTCGTGCTGTGGCCCGATGACTTCAGCTGGACCTACACCGTGCGGCCAACTATCTCGGCGGACTTTCCCGACGCCACTGTCGCGGGCGGCGGCACCCTCTCCGACCCCACCACTGGATACACGTACGTCTAGCTGGAATTATCTATACATATATATATATATATATATATTCGTGTGGCATCCTGCACCACTTCTTTGCGTGTCTTGTGTCCAAATATGCAAGTACTGTCTCGAGCTCCGTTCATGGTATTCATTGATCTGCTCATGCTGGGTCAAGTTTACGTTATGAAAATACATGGAACAACTCGGGAAGTATTGCGTCGATCATTGTCCGTTTCATAAATATATATTTATATATTTTTTTTTGTGGAAGAATCGGATATAATGGGGTTTTACTTAAATATGGGTGGCTTATGTAATATATAGCGCGTTGACGGTGGAAATCACTCGCGACTTTAACATTTACATGGCGCTCGTGTTTGTGGGTATTTGGGCCGTGACGATCGCAATCGGGTACATTGGCAGTCGCGCAGTGATCTGGAAGACAAGGGCCCCAGACAACCCCGTGATCTTTGTGTCGGCGCTATTTGCTGTGCCCACATTTCGCAACACAACCCCCGGCCGGCCCCCGTACGGATGCCTCTTTGATGTGCTCTGTACGTACTTCAGCATTGCGGTGATCGTTACGTTTTTGGTGCTGGTCGCGTTCGCGTACATGAAGAAGCCCAACGCGGACAAAAAAAAGCAAAGGCGCCGGCGGGAAGACGACGACACGATCCCCGTGGGCACGCTGGACGCGGGGGTGACTGGTGAAGTGGCGGCCGATGTCGGCGACGTCGCAGGAGATGCGGGGGGCGACAGCAGCGATGCGACGACGGCCGATTCGGCATGACGCGCGTTACCATGTGAAGAGTGAACGATGTCACAGAACCAGTGACTGGCCCGTCCGCATCTTGTAGAGTAATCGTGATAAACTAGAGTTTTGTAATCCAAGTGAACGAGGGTGGACTTGTTGCTTGTCAATGTAATAATATTGCACCACATTGCATATATTCCACTACAATGTCACTACTATCACAAGACACAAATTACGTAGTAACTTTCAACAGCGTTCCAACAACACTATGATCATAGGTACGTACAGTACAGTAAAAGGAAGCCCTGGTGTATACCTTTTTCCAGCTATAGCTTCTACACTGTAGTGGAAAAAACGCAAACAGAAATATATGTTATGAAGCCCCCATTCTTGGACTTTTGGGACTGCTAGCATGACCATATCCGACAGATCCAACGCGAGCAGTAGCAGCATCAGCTTTCACTCGCCCACGGCGCTGTTGTCATCGCTTCCAGAGGACTCAAAGATGGCACCTCCGGACAAGCGGATGCAGTTGCAACTGTTCACGATTGCCGGCCTTGTGGTGTTCTTTCTTGGCATTGCCATCCCCTTTACGCTCACGCAAGCAGCGTCAGGTAGTTGCCTCCTCTCATGGTGTAGCCATCAACATGTACCTTACTTGACTAGAAACCAAAGTACATGGGTACCAAGTGCTATATTCGACCCCGTCCAAGCCAGACAGCATCGTGCTCAACACGGTGATTTCTTCGATTAGCACAGAAACCTATGGTGTGTCATATCTTCTGCGACAATGTTATTTGTTGACAATATCACTGGTCCTGTATTAGAGCTCGTCATGACCACAACTATCGTTGATATTCCTAAGCGCTTGGCGTCCAATGATACATTGGTATGTCCACATAGCATTTGATCAAATATCCCCCTATTGTTTAGATTACCCCCCCACGAACCCCCCCATCCGTAGTACAAACCGTTTCGAGTTCAAGTGGGGCCCGGGGCGATTGTCATTACCCCCAACATCACCAACTTGAAAGTGCCGCTGATTACCAAGATCCCCCTTGTCAAGGGGTCCACAGCTTGGTACCCGTTCGACAAGTACTTGACCGCTGTGGAGACGGAAGCATTTGTCGGCACGAGTCCATTCATGGGCCAAAAGGCTGAAGCCATTGACGTTGCCGTCGTCGTCAAGACGCCCGAAGATTTCAACTGGCGGTGCAAAATAATATCCCACAACATCATCCAGCAACTTCTAACAAAAGACGTACATGTGTAGATACAAAGTACGGAAAACGACCCCCGATGACTTTGACAACGACGGTCCCCCGGGCACCCCGTCGATTTCGACGTGCGTACAACCAACCATTTCGATTACTTATCGTTGTATTACAGTTGCATACCGTGCGATTTTTTGTAGGTCGCTCACGATTGAAGTGTCGCGCAAGTTCAACGTGTACGCGGCGCTAGTGTTTGTGTGTGTGTGGTCCGTGACCATCTCGGTGGGGTACATTGGAAGGTACGATTTATTAATACAACAACGGACTTTTACCGATGCGCTCGTAGTTGTGCTGTGATTTGGAAACATCGGCCCCCAGACAGCCCCGCCATCTTTGTGTCGGCTTTGTTTGCAGTGCCCACTGTACGCAACATGCTCCCTGGTCGCCCGCCCTACGGTGCGATTTCTTGTATCGGCCGCCGTCCATTCATTTCTCAGTGATTTTCGTTAGGATGCTTGTTTGACATTTTGTGCACGTACTTTTCGATTGCGGTGATTTTAGTCTTCTTGGTGTGGGTGTCTATCGCATACATGAAGAAAGTGGAGCCAGAACACCCAGCCAAGAAAGCTGACCAATGCCATCGAAGTGTCGACGGAACTTATCACCCCTGAGGATCCCCCCCCTTCCCCCACGTCCAACAACTCAGAACGATTTTAATACTACCTAGTAACCATGCGTTTATGCATTAGTTGATCGTTAGTTTGAATGCCTTCTTCTGCATCCAGGGATGTACTAGTAGTTGCGAACGGAACAGTTGGCGGTCATATTGAAGGAACGAATGTAACGTTAACGTCGTTTTTGTTTCGTCATACGATTCTATTCGTTATATATACACACAGTACTTGGATACGGTATGCTTTGCGAGATGATGCATCGCATTAGTTGGTGCAACTTGACAGGCTGAAAGTTGACGTTAAGGTCATTTTTGTTTCTAAAGGCGATTCTCGTTCTCGTGGTCGATTTTCGGTCGATAGTATCCACACTGCATTCAGTACTACAGTACTTTGATACTGTACTACTGAATGCATTGTGAATGGATGGTTGGTGCTACCTCCTTGAAGGCTACTACGTAGTACTAGTAGTACAGTATAAGTTGACGTTCAGGTCGTGTTTGTTTCTAACTGTAAATGCAATTGAAGATTCGTTCAGTCCACACTGGATACCAGTACTGTACTTCTTTGATACTGTATGCATGCCACTACTGTGTGTGATCATGTCGAATCGAGCCACACGGCCGCGCCTTCCTCTGCGTCGGCGTTCCACATGAACTGGTTAGCACCCCACTTGACGTTGTCACCTCTGGGCGGACACCCGCCGTGGCTGGCCATCTCGTCCACCTCCATCGTCGGCGTTTGGACGTAGAAGAGCGCCGCTTGCAGCGCCACCGGCGGCACCGCCAGGCCTTGATTACACTCGGTCATCGTGGAACGGTTGACTGCGTGCGATGACGTGGCAAAAGGAAATGCCGTCTCGCCGCCAGCGTCGACCGAGTTGACGTACACGAACAACGTGGCGAATCGCTGGGGCGGAATGTGTGGCACATACAAAGGCAAAGTGTACCCTGTCACAGGTGCAAATTGCACTTGGAGTTCCCACGACTGAATCAGATGGAGCACCAAGGACGATCCGACTTCTTGCACCAACTACATACAATAGGATCCATTCAATAATATACACGTTTTAGACAAAACTATCGTCAAATATAACGAAATCTAGTCAAATATGACGAAATCAATTGAATGCGTTTGGGCCACTCAATATACAATATCAGGTCTAACGACGTACGATGGCAAGGCAGATGATGGCACATATAAATTGTAAACTTCAATTTCGAATAAAATCATGCAAAATCATAGAAATCAACTATCATTTCGAACAATCAAAAGGGGCATCATAGTTTCAAGAAATAACTATTATATAAATATTTTTTATTCTAGTTAAAGCAGAATTTCTATCAAAATTGAACTATTTTTTGTTCTATTTTCCATCTAATTATTTTTTAAAAATTAAAATTATTAGAATAACTATTATACTTGGACGTAAAAGTAAAAAAATCGAATTTTTTATCGAGGTCATAATGGACATCATACAGTCAGTATACCTGGAGCCGGACATTAATTATTTCAAGAAATACCATCGTTTTTTAAAATTCCAATCAAACGGGACACTATACTTTGCTTTTTCAATTCGAATTTTATACTAGTACATGAAATGGACATATGTAGTATAAGTACTTGGAGCAGGACATTGCGGCGCCCGTTGTTCTCGTCGAGCCAGGCCAGCCAATCATTGGACAGCACGTTGGTTACCCCGCCGGTGGCGATGCGCACTCGCAATAGAGTCAGCACTTTAGTCTCAAAAGCTGTGTTAAACTTGGGATAAAGGTCTCCATAGGGCTGGATCAGTTCGGGGGCAGCTTGGCTGAGAGACGCGATGGTTTCCTTTGTATTGCGCACCCAGCGATACCTAAAATATATATATATATATATTTGTATAGATTGGATTCCCGTCAACCCAACGTCTATGACTGCCATACCAAACAGTATATATATATATATGTGTATTCTTCGAATTTTTATCGCTTTTTGCATATATATATATAATTATATATTGTGACAGGAAGCAAGATATAGAATGGCGATAGAAATAACTTGGATACAAGGGGTAATTTTGTCAAGTCGATTCGAATTTGGAGTGGGGTGCTCAAGGGCCAGAATAACCTAATTGACAGACAATCGACTGACCAATCAAAAGCCAGAACACTTTCAAGCGGCCAATCCAACGCCTGCAACGATCGAATTCGTGTATAAATACTGTGAATGGCTTTACAAAAATCTCCATACAAAAGTCAGTACAAAAATCGAAATCGACCGACGAGTTTAGTGACTCAGCAAGAAATATATTCCAACTGTTTGTTGGCTGAAAGCACAATATATTTTGACATTTCTATGATACCATTGACTCATGCCATGGGGCGGTCGACGTTTCGGAAACGTGTAGCGCAAATGGGGAAAATTCCCCGCCTTGGCTTCCCACACCCGAACTATCGTGGGCAAATACTCGCCTTTGCTTTCCATCAAAACCTTCATGATGCCCGAAGCATTTGCATGTAAATTCACGTCGAGCCACTCGTCCCATGCTTTGTCCAAGCTACGCAAACCACCATAATATATATATATATATGATGTATAAAAATATACTATAAATCGACTCGATCGATTATGATTACCGAGAGGAAAAGTAGTTGGTCGCGTTGGCATAATTCCAAAATGCCCTTAGTAGCTCTTGTGTGAACTCTGTCGACGACGCATTCGGATACCACTTGTGGCCGTTCCAACACTCGTCACTCGCAGTAGTAGTACTAGTAGTATTACTACTACTACAAGTGATATCCTTCGAGTCCACCGCAGCCGCAGCCCACGCCGCCCAATCCTAGCCGGATGGTGTGTCCATCGTTTATATTTTTATATATTTTTGTAACAACGAATGGTCACCTCAAAATCAGTGTAATTGTATGAGGGTTTGGGTACAATCTGCTTGTTATTGAATGTATCGAGATGTCGCTTGTAATACTCGCCAGGAGCATACCGCACCAGCTGGGTCCGTTCGGCAAAGCTAGGACTAGGCAGGCGAGCTAGCTTGGCCGCTCGGACTTGGAGCTGCCGTGTCAGTTGGCTAGCCAAAATATGATGATGTATTCCATATATTGTGGATTCGATACTACGAATTTCCAGACCCCGTCGAATCAAATCACGAATCGACACTATTGGCTAATCCATTTTTGAGTGGATAATTTGATTGGCTCTTGCAAAAAGGTGGTCAAGTATATTCAACCAATCAAAACTCCAGCGTGATTGAATTTTGATTCGACAAACCACGCGAATTTTGCAAGTTAGTTTATACCGAATTCACAATACTAATGTACATCGAACTACTCCAAAAAGAATATGCATAATAATAATAAAATAAAAATAACAGACGAGAGAGAACCTCGGGGGTAGAAACGCAGTGTGGCTTGTTCGCGTCGTGGAAATGCCTACGATGAACAATGCTTTTAACAACAGTGGATGCGGGCGTGCAATATACGATATATATATATATTATTGTATAATTTATTAGGTATACATTTCAGGAAAACTGTCAATCGAATCACGCCCACCCTCAAACCACCAAATCTCGCATCCCATTGGTCAATCTGAAAATTCAATTCTCACTTATGCTTTGCTACCTTATATTCGTGATGAAACTTCGACGCGAGATATTTTTGAAAATCGCGCAGAATTATGGAAATTTGTAGCAAATTAAAGATAAATAAATAAATCGACTTTCCAATAATGGGGGCCAGCCAGCGTGGTTAAACAACTACTATATACATATTGTCGATTTGATAGTACAAATTTGGGGATCGAATCGCGCCGACCAAACCGATTCACAATCGATCTGATTGGTTGTTGAATTTCATTGAGAACGTTTTGATTGGCTAATCATTTTGAGCAGGTAGCCAATCAAATCGATTTAAATTCCAACGAGAAACCACAACACAATGAAATTTCACTCGAAAGCACAATACCTCGCACGCCCTTGTCGTCGATTCGCGATCGATCTAGATGGGGCTGGCCTTGGCTCAAGATGGCGTCGGCATCGTCCTGGCTCACGAACCCACTCACGCCAAACACTTTGGGGGATAAGCTGAGGGTGGTGAGGGTGATTGGTGGATGTTCACATTCGCTGACTGGATGGTCGCATTGGACGGTGGTCGTGTATCCCACGGCAATTCCAGGCCAGACCCATACTTGGAACTCAAGCAACACGTGCAGAATGCCGCCACTTGTGCGGACGTCGGCGGCGTCCTGGACGATGTGGCCTTGCTGGTTGTACAGACGAATGCCGAGGGATACCCAGTCCGCGTCGGCGCCGAGCGCCACGGCCGCCATGTGTCCTACTGCATGGAGGCAACCGTCGTGCCATGTGAAGTACAGTCCGTCGTTGGCGCCATTGAGGAGCATAAACACCATCGTCGGCGGGACGGGAGATGCCATGACCGTGGTGACAGGTGTGATCGGTCCGACCGGTCGAGGGAGGTCCACGCAAGTGGTTGACGGCGCAATGAAGTGTTGGGTCTATTCCTCTAAACGTCAATCAACGAGAGCAGGTAGTAGTAGTGTAGTTAGCACCTCCATGGATACAATGTCGGAGCGGTACTTTGGGACCAAAGCACCATCATCGATAAGCACAACGCCCGACTCGAGCGCAGGGGCTAGTGCTGGAAGGACAGTGGAGTACACTACGGAGAAGTCGTCCTTGTTGAAGGTAGCGATGTAGTGCATCCACACAGCGGCCACCGCCAGGCATAGTGCTGCCACTGGCCACTGCATGGCTAAATATTCACAGTTGTGGACGCTGTTATGTGTGTATGTGTACAAATGTCTTATCCAATCAGCATGGAGAGCTGTGTCATAAACCGATTTGATTGGCCCAGTGCTCTCGATAACACTTGAAATGAAATCCAATAGTAACGTTAATTCGAGCTCTTTCGAAGAAATAAAGTGGGCACTAAGCTTCCACAGAAGGACGTTGAGGACCATGCTGCGGAGGCAACTGACGGGTCCTCTTCGACGGCGGTCCGTCGGGGGCCAGTCGTTGTAGGCGGCGAGACTGGCGCGGGGTGTTCGCTGCAGTGTTGTTGCTGCTGGCGTCTCGTGGTGCCACGTACTTGCGAGTTGCTGGCTTCTTCGTCTTTTTCGTGCGGTTGGTGGCCGCATTAGGAGTCGCAGGGAGCGGGGCGTGTCGAGGTTGCGCGACTTCCAGGATCGCTTGACGAAGGGAGTGGTTTGGCAACAGGTCCTTCGTCGCGAGCTGGTTGTTGGTCACGGGACTGGTGCTGTGGTTCTCGAGCCAGGACTCGATCGCCGATCGATCGTACGAGTATCCGTCGCAGGCCACCACCGGGTCATCCATGACGTCGCACGTGATGGGACACACGAACGAGTCGACCTGGATCAGCATCGCCGGTTGGGGAATGGCGATTTCAAACTTGGAGAGCGAAAACTACTTCAACGTCGATATCTAATATGACACGGTTTTCATGTCAACGGTGTCGTCTATTTTGACTACGACTGCAATATGAACGCGAAAATATATTTGAACAGCTGAATCGTACCAGAAAAAATACTTCAAATAATACTAGTAGTAGTACTATTTATACTTAACTTTACTGTGGGTACTACAGTAATATACTACGTAGTACTACTGTACAACCAGTACAGTGCCTTACCTACCTAGCGTACTGTATATGGAAGTCTGCCGATGGGTGTGTGCAAATCAGACATGAAACGAGTTCCACTGTTATTTTACTGTTAACCCCAAATACTGACAGTAAATTATGCTATCCGGATACACTTTACCAGCCCGTAGCCGCGTGTGAGGAGTACTACGTATTAAAAGTACATACATTATACCTTAGAGTTAATGCTAAGTCTCCGAGGTGAACTGCAACACCAGTGGTTAGGCCTTATCGCTATGAACCTCTATTAATAGTAAGTGGTGTGTACGGTATACTAATTCCCATAATGACTCGGACAAATATTTGCTGGATATATGCTTCGTACACGCACTTAACCGAATGCGAATAGTTGTACCACAGACCTTGTCCGCCTACCTGCCGCTTCTCCCGACATGAGGAATCGATTGGACATTCGGTGAAGTGCACGATTGGGGCTCACTCCTCGCCAAGGCACCGCCTGCACGACCTCCGCTGCGGTGCGCGCAATTTTGTGGGCGGATGGTCTGTCGTCGCTCGCTACTGTAAAGCTGATCGTTCTTATGCGGGTGTATAACTAGCAATTTCTGATAAAAGAAGCAGTGCCGTCCATATATACTGGTTGGTACGAAATCAAATGCGTCAACCGAATTCCAGGTACGACAGTTCCAGTATTATTACTGTATTCCTGTCGTCGTCGTTGCAAATGAGCTAGACGCTGGGAATTGCAGTGATTGCGGTATAATCCTAGCTGAGTGTACAGTACAATGCCAGTGGATGGCTGGGAGTTGACCAAAGCCATTGCCAGAGGTCTACTGTACATATGCCAGCAGGTTTGCAGTCTGGGCCGTATTGTCTGGGTGTCGCGCGATACAAAGCGACAGAGGCAAGGAATCGCATTGTGGATTTTTTGTTGACAGAGCGGATCTTTTCTACCCTGTGGCTTCCGATTTGGGCCAATCATATGTCGTAGGCAGAGTTGGTGGCCAATCAATTGGCTGATTAGGAGGAGCGACATTTACACACAACAGGGCTTGTAGCATAGTTTAATTACGAGGAGTATAAAATGCACACCCCTCCTTCAAACCTGTACTTGTTTTGGGACATTTATTACTTCAGTATTGTATATTAGGTCAACCGTCCCAGTCACCCAATCTTGGCTATTCTGGGACTCCGCCAAGGTCAGGTGTGAAACGAAGTATACGAAATAGTATGACGGTATTGAATGAATGATGCCGCCGCTTCACGAGCCTTCAAGTCAAAGGCGGTGGCTTGACCGATCGACTGCATGCTCACTAAGCATGTGACAACAACGCTAAACTCAAAAGGATCTACAGTTATACTTGTCCACGGCATATAGAAGCGTGGTAGCGTGATATTCTTGTGGCTGAACCTATCATCGAATATTTTGGCCTTAAAGTGAAATGAATCTAATAGCGGAAGATTTGTATCAAGGATTATAATATTGCGCTGGAATTGTTGAAAACAATAATATTTCGACTTTCTCACGGATGGCGCCCCGTGGGGCGTTACGTCCTTGAGCAGCAGATGCAGGTCGACTGCTCCCATTTCATCGGACACCATTCGAAATTGCGAGCGTGGACCGCCGCGGAGAACGTCTGCCGCCGCCATCCATACACACCATCATGGGAGCCACGAAAGCAACCCAGGAACTGTCGCCTCTGTTAAAATGCAGCCCCTTGACCTCCACACCCAGCAGCAGTCCAGCGTACGGCGATCCGATCATCGTGACTGTGCCAGTCAAATCCACGCGGTCTGTCCGCATCCAAACAAAGCCCAAAGCGGAAGAAGTGTACCCGCTTCCGTGGTTTCGATCTCCAGACATGCCCAAGAAACCCATCCGCATGATCCTCAAGAAAGACGCGCCCAAGTCGGCCATTGCAACATGGTGGGCCAGTCTCACCAGCACCTTCGATGGAGACAAATGCATGCATGTGCTGGTCGCAGCCATCTTGGTCTGTACGATCATTGTGATTTTGTCTATTTTATATGACAGCGGCAAGAAGACCGCCGCCAACGACAGCCCAAAGTTTATGTTGCGAGGGAATTCGTAAATGTGTTTGATGAATCTAAGGAAGTATTTGTTTGCTCTTGTGTTGCAGCATGCATTGACGGACCCAATGGCCGCTCGTAGATGAAGGAATCGCATGTGCTTGACATGTGCTACCGGTACATACAAATGTGAGATGCCTAGGTTTGGTGAAGTCGCGTTTGAAGACATGACTTGAGAAAGGGCCAACGAGGCTGGCTACCCCCGTCCACGTGTTATTATGTGTACGTACCTCCTTCACCTTACTCAAGGCACAGAGAATTTCCTGCGTACAAGTAGAGCGGCATCCTGGTGTTGGGGACTACTAGTACCTCAGCGGACTACAAAGGGCTCAGATTAGCATGACCATCGTTCTTCATGGACGAGAGCGTAAACTCCCATCGATTAAAGCATCAGATACAAGCGTCGTTTCCTCATTGCCCACACACAAACACACTACAGTATCACATCGACCACCCTTCTCCTGTCGGCATCATGCCACATGCCACCGCCACAGCGAGCTCCATGGAACGTCCTGTTACTGTATCACCACCGCTCAAATTTGAAAATGAGAATCCATACGGATGCCATTGCCAACCACAAGATTATCCGGAATCCCACCATGAGCAATGACATGAGCGCGGCGGTGTTGCGACAGACGTTGGCACTGGTCAAAGCCAACGACGGCCAGTTCACCGCGCAACACGGAGAAATCCTGCTGACCATCTACACGAACGAAGCAGAGATGGCACTACTCCAGGCGGCGTCGGAACTGGTGGAGCGGCAGCGCGTCACTTGCGTCACGGCCGCACCAAGCGGACGGTCGTTCACCCGCGTGTCGTCGCAGTCGCACCATGGATCCAGCGGCGGCCCGTCGTTTTACATTTGCTTCTCACACTATTGCTCCTGTGCTGCCTTCCTCCACACGACTGTGCACAGCAAGTCCACCATGGTACAGTGTATGTGAGTGATGTCGCTGCAACGAGTCCTCATGCAGTACCCTTCCTCGTAGTGCAAGCACATTCTCGCAGCTCTCTTGGCTGATGCAACGGGGAAACTCCTTCATGAGTCTGTGGCCGACTCTGCGTTTGCCGACATGTTGTGTCCCGTGTCGTCCGAGTGAGACTTTGGCGGGAAAGGACGTTTCGCTCGAAATATCTACTCGCTCTTGAATATTTATTATATTATTCCTCCGTCCCAATAATATATTTGCTTCAACGTCGTGATAAAAGGTCGATATGCAGCAATACACGTATATATATATATATATATAATATATATATTATCAACCCCTAAGCATAGGGGCCCGCCGTAAACAAGGAACCCCTTCATAGCATCCTCACCTCGTCATCCATTGGCATCATGATGCCCGATTTAGTAAATACTACTAGTACTACGTAGTAGTACTACCTGGTACTAGTAGCTGTTAACACGAATGGATATTAATAAATATTGATGGTATCAATAATGTAATGATATGATTTCTAATATTATTGGATTCATTTACAGCCAATCAGATCGTCGGCTCCTCCTATCCTTGGATTTGCCGCCAAACGCTTTGAACTTGCCATGAAGCGCCCGATCCCGACGACGGACGATGAGCTCGGAGGTGACGATCCTTCCTCGGCTCCATGGCTCTCCTTGAACATGTCAGGGTTTGTCGGGTCCACTTTCGACGTGGTCGTGCAAGATGAAACGACGGTGGTCTGGACCTTCGAGTGCGCTCCCGACGACGACTCGGGCGACGTCGGTGTCACGGTTTCGCGCAACAAGTGCTTCGGCGCACCGGTGACGCTCACGATCACGCTCTTGCCGTACAACCTGTTGCATGCGTCGGCGGCGTCGGCGGCGTCCCAACAGGTTCAAGTGTCGGTCGTGTTGGAGGACGAGGTGGATGTGGCGACGTTCGTGCCGTTCTACCACATGAGCGACTTGATGAACCAGAACCCATTCGTGTCCCCCAACACAGGTACATCTTCATCCTTAGGACGATCCTTTCATCATATACACGTCCTTTCTCGACATGTCGTCATCTTGGAACGGTCGTAGGCAAGTTTGAGCTGAAACTCTCCGTGTTTTTGACTGTCATCGACGTCGCGGACGGGTACTCGGCGCCGCCAGCTTCCGAGATCCCCCTCAAGCGCATGAAGTCGGATGATGGAAGCACGAGTCCCACGGGCTTTGACGACGACGCGTCGGCGCTGGACTCGGAACTGTCCCTTCTCGATCAACCGTTGGACGACAAGTCCGGTCTCGTGGACTTGACGATGAGCCTCAACTACGATTCCAAGACTGCTACCGGCATGGTCGGGTTGAAGAACCAAGGTCAGACGTCCTCTCCATGCCTCGTCGCTCTTTTCTTGGACCTCATCCACCACCCCTTTGTCCAGGCGCAACATGCTACATGAACTCGCTGCTCGAGACGCTGTTCTACCTCCGTCCATTTCGAAAAGCCGTGTACGATACCCCCACCGCCGACGACGACAGCACCAATTCCGTCGCGTTGGCGCTACAGCGTGTGTTTTACAGATTGGAAACATGTACGTCTGGTATCTATCTAAATGTATATATGTATATATATACATTGAAATAATAATAGTAGTGTGTTGCATGCTCTTGATATATATATATATATATATATATTGAAAGGGTACGATGATTCCACGAGATTTGGCAATGTCGAACGACGTTTATATATATATATATATACATATATATTGAAATGAAAGTAGTGTGTTGAATGCTCTTGGTACTATGATTCCACGAGATTTGACAATGTCGAATGACGTTTATATATATATATCGAAATGATGATAGTAGTAGTGTGTTGCATGCACTTGATATATATATGTTGAAAGTGTACTATGATTCCACGAGATTTGGTAATGTCGGATGACGTTTATATATTTATATATATATAGAAATGATAATAGTAGTACGTTGAATGCTCTTGATGTATATATATACATATATATACATATATATATTGAAATTGTACGACGTTCCACGAGATGTGGCAAATTTATCGAATGACGTTTGGATCAATGTTTGTACGCGTTTTTTATCCTATGGTCGTTCAGGTACTTTTTTAAATTATATAATTTCACTGTTATAAAACGATTTTAGATTATAAGGAACTGACGTTTTGATTTTAATCTTCTAGCGGTGAAAGCAGTAAGCACAAAGGAACTGACCAAAGCCTTTGGGTGGTCGCACATGGATGCGTTCACACAGCACGACGTGCAGGTACACTCGATATATATTCTGACCCCGTTGAAAAATCCGATTCATATTGGCAAATCCAAGGAAATATTAATATTATTTTGAAATATGATATGGTCGCCATCTGGAAATATAATCGATCCAATCCAACGAGAGATTGGTTGTGTGTTCACTGTTTGATATTAATATTGTGCTTTTCACCCAAATTTGGATTTTTGAGTCATTTCAATAAATAGCGTTCGAATCCATTTGACGTCATTTAAGCTTGTACAAACTATACTATACATTTGTGGTTTGGCCCACCGCGGCGCATCAATCGTTTGGATTGGTCGAAATTCGACAGATCGTGATTTGATTGGCTTTGGCGGTTCTTTGATCCATTCAATTCTAGCTCACCAGTTTTCGAACCCAACAATCGATTTGGATCATATACATATATGAACAATATTTATGCTATATATATAATAAAACATGCGAAAAGGAGGGTTCACAGTTTGGAATAGGAACTGTATCGCATTTTGTGCGATCGGTTGGAAGACAAGATGAAGCACACCCCCGTGGACGGCCTCATTCCGGCGCTGTTTGAAGGCAAAGTAACGTCGTTCGTGTCTTGTGTGCATGTCGAGTGCACGTCCAGCAGACACGAATCGTTCTACGACCTACAGCTAGACGTCAAGGGCTGTGTGAACCTGGACGCATCCTTTGAAAAGTTTGTCCAAGTAGAAACCCTCGACGGAGACAACCAGTACGACGCTGCCAACGGGTTTGGCAAGCAGGATGCCAAGAAAGGACTGAGCTTCCACTCGTTCCCGCCCATCCTCAATATCCAACTCAAACGGTATATATATATATATATGCCGTCTGAATATAGATATAGATATATAGATATGTATGTATATATACCGTTTGAATATATATACCGTTTGAATATATATATATACCGTCTGAATATATATATATGTATACTATTTGAATATATATCTATATGTATATGTAGATATATAATGTTGGTGGTGTGTGCGTATTTTTTTGTTTTTTGTTTGAAACTGCATGGAATAGTCTTCGTTGTACGTATATATATTATATATTTAACTATTTTAAAACTAGCATGTGTTCGTTGGATAGTGTTTTATACACGTTTTGTGGTTGACGAGTATTAATTGACATGTCTTCACGGTGTCGCTTAATGTGGTACGAGGGATTTTTCTAATTGGCTGTGAATATAACTGAATAGTGTAGCTAGCTAGCACCCTGCTTGGACTAAATAGACTAAATACACACTGCTTTATATATTAGGCTTCATATATGCAGTAGCAATAGGAGAATTGTATTGGTTGATGTATTCGTTCCTTGTGAGGTTGTACACATAAGAGCTGTGTGGGTGTGATTTGCATCGAATCTATATATTTGTAAATGTTTGAATCCAATATATTTATTTAATTATTCAATAGTTTTGAATACGACCCGTTGCGGGATGGAATGGTCAAAGTGCACGATCGATTTGAGTTTCCCAAGCAATTGAATCTTGCAGCGTATATGGACTCCACTGCGTCGCCCGACTCGACGAAATACCATTTGCACAGGTACTTATATATCAATATATATATTGTAAAACGGCAATTATATATATTTCCCTTCGTAGCATCCTCGTGCATTCAGGAGACGTCCACGGCGGCCACTATTACGTGTATATTCGACCCCACGGCCAAGATCCGGCCAACACTTTGTGGTTTAAATACGACGACGACCTCATCTCTGCCGTCGACGAGGGCGATGTGATGGAGAGCAGCTTTGGCAGTCCGTTGGCCGGCGTCACGTCGTTTAGCAGTGCGTACATGCTGGTAAGAACACTTTGCGTCAATAATGGTTGATAATTCTGAAAAAATATCCTCCGACATCACATTCAGTATGTGTATAGAGGTTTGTTTATTGTGTTTTTTTTACCCCAAATTTGGCTGACTTTAGTGCTGATTCTTTGCCAAATCTATCGATATATCGATTCTTTCGATTGACTTTTGTATGTAACGAATGTCCAGTGTTACACTAATTGAAGTCACACATTAATTCGATTTAGCATTGGTTGAAGAGTGGATTTGATTGGCTACTTGATTTGTGATCTAGTTTTTGATTGGTCGATCGATTGCCGGCCGATTTGGTTGAGCACCCCGCTCCAATTTGGAGTCAACTTGACAATATATATATATATATATATATATATATATATGCAGACTGGATACTTGGTTTTTTATTGTTTTACTCAAAAATTCCTCCGCCGCTGGTTCAAGGATTCGTCGAACCTGCGACATTGAATAGAAAATTAAGTGTAAGAGGTTCCTTGGTCTCTTTGTGGCAGTATTTTAACGTTCATTCGTTTTACCCATTCAAAAGGCAATCATACTGCTTTGCTCGATTTATGGTGATTTCATCAATCCCCCTTAAAATTGAGAAATTTGGGTGAAAAACCGTATGTATATATATATATATATTAACAAACAATACCTTTCGATGCAATCAATCCCCAACTGCCGAATGGTTTGAACCTGCATGAGCTGTCCCGTTCACTTTATTCGATTCCATGTCTGCATGTTCTAATGCGCGATGGCGCTACCATATTGGACGCATGGTCGTTTTGTTGTCGTCAGATTCATAAATATATATAATATATATATTGAAATATATATTTGTAGGTATATGTACAAACGGGAGTGGGCACCGTCGAACACACCATCCCCGCGGCACTGGCGGCGCGCTTTCAAGCCGAAGAGGTCGCCGCACGGAAACGCAAGCGCCTCGCGCAACGGTACGAAACTGTTACAATTCATTTTTCCTATTTAGTATAACTGTTATAATTCATTCCATTTGCGTGTTATCCTTCGTAGCGAGCATTTGTTCCTGTCCGTACGCATCGCCACAGACGACGCCGTCGGTCGGTTCCGCCGGATCACTCGAACACTCGACTTTGTCGCATTACCCAAGCCCAACAAAGTACCCACGCACTTGCTCTCGTGCAAAGTGCTCAAGACCAACACGGTATGTATATACATGGGGTTACTGTTATAATTGTTATATATTGATACTATCCATATGTTGTTTGTGTTATAGTCTTGACGGCCTATGTTATAATTGTTATGTTCATGTTGTGGTTGTTATAAGTCTGGTATGTTCATGTTATAATTGTTATATAAACGGTGCCAACGTCGTCGCGATCCTCTCTAAAACCTTGAATATCCACGTAATTGTTGTATATGTTGTGTTTGTTATACTTTGGGTATGTTCATGCTATCCTTGTTCTACAATCTCGTGACGACCGTGAACTGACTAGCCATGTATATGTTCTACCTGCTATGTTCTATGTATTATAATTTAGATATCTTTATTGTTATATTTACCATAACTGTATCGTCGTAGCTCCGCCACCTGTACGGCCAAGTGGCGATGGAGACGGGGGTGCCGATCAACGAGATGCGGCTGTGGAAGTTGGCGACCCGGGAGAACCAGACCACGCGGCCGGATGAGCCCCTGGACAAGCACCCGCTCGAGGCGACGTGCGCCGCAGTGTTAGAAGACGACGTCCACACCAAGCAAGTGCTGCTGTTTCTCGAAATTTTCCCGCCGCACACGTCCGAGTACGTGATTTATTCGTGTGGTTGTTTGTGGATGTAGTAGTGATTCTTGGTTGTTTCAAGTTGGGCAATCGAATCTATGCCAAGATATAAACTACTGTATATATCGAATAATCCGATTTTTCATGTTGAAACACCAACTAATCCCCTTGTCTCTCAGTAGCAATTGACACTAATATTTGGCCCAGAGGACCAGTTTTTGTCGAGTGTATCTATTTATATATATATATGACGAAATTACATTGTGATGTGTTACACTAGCTGTTCTGTCCAAATTCAAATGAAAAAGATATATACGTGATTATGCTTCTTGTGTATGTATTCTTCGTTGTCAGAAGAAATATTTTGTTCTTTTTTTATGTGCGGCTAACTATATATATATATATATATATATAGATCTTTACAATTCCTCGTAGATTTTTGTTCCTATGTACCAAGTCCACACGACTTATGTTGGGGATGGAATAATATTCCCGTGGAATCCTCTTCTTTTAATATCTTTTTGGTAACCTACCTTACCTGTAGCTGCACGGGCGTGATCAAACGCTTTCCCATGCAAACATTTACACCGCCGCCGCCGCCGGCAGCTCCAGCGACCGACGACGAAAGCGACGACTCCCTGGACGACCTCGCGCCGCCCCAACTCGATCCGGTAGCGGCCGACCGCGTGCCCCTTCCCGTGTCAGATCATGCGATTCTGCTGTTCATTAAGCACTACAATCCCACGGTCCCCGTCATGGCCGACAGACTGGAGTATGTCGGAAACGTCATCGTGTCAACGTACGTAATGTATCACTACACGATGGACTTTTGCTGCAGTGTCCTTTTATAACTTACGTCGTTCAGACTGTTGGTGGTGACTTTCGCCAAATATATCATTTTATCGTTGTTGTCTGAATTTGAATGTAAAATATGCCTACTGAGATATGTTGATATGGAATGCGTTTCATCGAAATTTTGATCTTTGGAGAGTTAATAAAATGTGCAAAAGCAAGTATTGTGCTTTCGAGTGAAATTTCATTGTGTTGTGGTTTGTCGTTGGAATTTAAATCGATTTGATTGGCTACCTGCTCAAAATGATTAGCCAATCAAAACGTTCTCAATGAAATTCAACAACCAATCAGATCGATTGTGGATCGGTTTGGTC